ACAGCAGCACTCAGTGGGGGTGTGACTTCATTCAGGCCACGGTAGTCCACCGTCAGCCTCCATTCTCCACTGGCTTTACGCACTGGCCATATGGGGCTGTTAAAAGGTGAGTGAGTTTTGCTGATCACTCCCTGGCTCTCTAGTTGACGAATTAACTTATGAATGGGGAGCAAAGAATCCCTGTTGGTGCTGTACTGCCGCCTGTGCACCGTTTTTGTAGCAATCGGTACGTGTTGCTCTTTTACTCGCAGCAGCCCCACAACAGATGGATCTTCTGACAGGCCAGGCAAAACAGACAGCTGCTTAATGTTGTCTATGTCCACAGCAGCTATTCCAAAGGCCCATCGATACCCCTTAGGATCCTTGAAATGCCCCCTTCTGAGATAATCAATACCTAGTATACATGGAGCCCCTGGGCCCATCACAAAAGGATGTTTTTGCCAGTCCTTACCAGTGAGGCTTATCTCGGCCTCCAACACAGTCAATTCTTGAGAGCCCCCCGTCACTCCAGAAATATGGATTGATTCTGTCCCTTGGTGACTCGAGGGCATCAGAGTGCACTGTGCACCAGTGTCCACCAGGGCCTTATATTTCAGTGGTTCTGATGTGCCAGGCCATCGAATCCACACAGTCCAATATACTCTATTATCCCTTTCCCCCCCCTGACTGAGGGCAGGGCCCCTCTATTCATTACCTGTGGTAACTGGAGCAACTGCACTGGTGGTTGATCTGCTTTGTAATTCTTTCACCCAGGCTTGTAGTACAGGAGTAGGTTGACTGTGCCACTTCCCCATGTCTTCTCCATGGTCACGTAGGTAATACCATAAGGCAATTCGCGGTGTATTACCCCTTACTTGAGCCGGAGAGCGTTTGCTTCTAACAGCTGAGATCTTTGATGGTGCACGTGAGAAGGAAGGTTCAACATCTTTAGTTAGGTGGGCTCGCAAAAATTTCATCATCTCCTTCACCTCCTTCACATCCTTCGCTAGACTCATGTGATTATCCTGATCTTCATCAAGCATTTCTGATACTGCTACAGGTTTGTCACAGTTAATCAGTTGAGACACTTGCTCCGTCATTTTTGATATAGCAGCCACCACGGCAGCATGAATTGGGGACAGCAATTATTCGTAGTTTTGGAGCGTAACAATTAATTCATAAACTAAGGGCGTTCTCTGTTGTTCGTTGAATCTGTCACACGCTGACATCAGTGTAGAGGCATATTTGTCCGGCGCTGTTGTCACGATTTTCTGCCATATCTCAGGCGTTGTCCTCACCTTTTCAGGGTCGCGGTTTTGTTGTGGGTGGTTAGGAACAAAGTTAGGGTCATACAACATTTCCACTACGCCTATTTCCCTCAAATACTGGATCCCCTTTTCAACTGTATCCCATTTTTTCATCGCAATCTTCAAGCCATTTTTGAAGGGATACTTTTCCTTCACGGCTGTTAACACTCATTCCCAGAGGGAGGCAGCCTCATCCGAACATCGACTAATTCCTCTATCAATAGCTGGATCTCTGGCAATGGCGCCTAGTTGGCGAGCTTCATTACCATCCAGAGACAAGCTATGGGCCCCACTGTCCCAACAGCGAACCAACCAGGAAACAAGAGTTTCATTCGGGCGCCGTGTAAACTCCTTTCTTGAACCTTGGATTTCAGTCATCTTTAGAGGCCGGCGAGTAGTAATAGAGACTTCCTCTTCATCACTCTCTTCTGCACATCTCTTAGTTTTCCCTTTTGCCTTTCGCGATGGTGGTGGTTCTGAGGAGGGCCCCTCGCCTGGATCTTCCTCCACCTCCTCCTCCTCTTCTTCTCTTTTTCGTTCAAGACGCGAAGACACTCGTTTCCATTTCTTGCCCTCCACAGGAGCAACTGGTATTGTTACTGGTGTCTCCTGTGATTGATTAGATTTGACTTGGGGATTTTCCCCTTTGGCTTGCACCTCAGCTCGGAAACTCTCTCTCTCCAGAATGGTATTATATAGGGCACGGTAAGCACAAGCCAAACCCCAAACAAGTTGTACCTCCTTAGATTTATGTAAGCCGCATAGTCCCTGACTCAAATACTGGCTTAGTTTCTCAGGATCCCACAGGTGTTCAAGAGTAAAATCCCATGACACTGCGGGTCCCCATGCTTCTAAGACCTTTCCTAAACCTCTCCATATTCCCTGCCAGTCATCATTCTCTAGTTTTGGAGAAGACTCCTTCCCCTTATTACGAATGCATAGGAATACATTCAGGAAAATTGATGACATGCACACGCACACCAACATGAGAATTAATTCAGGATTCAAAAAACGTTTGACAAACTGAGAAGAAAACCCGGAGACTGGTCTGAACATCGTGTTGTTTGTAAAATTAGCTATTCCATTTGGGATGTAATTGTTTGTGAAATTAGCCATTCCTTCTGGGATGTAGATGTCAAAGTTCAAATCATACGACATTGCAAATAGGTAAAACATAGGTGTCTCCATCAGTGTCATTAGGTACCTATATATGGTTACAATTCCACAACACATAATTATGAGCTGGATTATTGGCCAGTAGGTTGTGACTAACACCATTGCTTTTAATCCTTTACCCAGCACCCCCACAATAACGAGTGGGTTCATCAGTGGTGCCTGCTAAAAAGGGGTTAATGAATTGAAGCTAACAAGAGGAGGGAAAAAAAAAGAAAAAAAGGCACTACCCAGACGAAGTAGTGCTCAAAGTTTACAAATATCCCAGAACACTGGCAGTACGCCTAATCTTTCAAGGTCAGGTTTCCCAGCACAGAAACCTGAACTACTGATAACTCCCTAACGAAGCTCTCTAAGAGCAGAGAGAAAAAAAGATTCGTTCTAAAAGCTAAAAAGCAGCGAGCCCCACGTTGGGCGCCAAAAATCTGTCACGGAGTTGACCAGATCAATCTATGTCCGTGACAGGGGCGACAGGCCTCTGCCCTCCCCCCCACCCCAGTCCCTCAAAAAAAATGGGAAAGAAGGAAGGGAGGAAAAGAGCAGCGGCAACAATCTATGGAGGAAAACTTATTTTACTATAATATCAGAATACAAAATAACACAATATATACAATTTAATTGAAATTGAGATTAATAAATCAGACAAGATGAGAGAGAGAGTTCCCGGGACCGATTCAAACCTGAAAAGCTTGGAGGAAAGCACCTCCAGCACCCACTGCCAGGCAGCAAGAGAGCGCCCCCCCACCCGGAAGGGTCAGATCCCGTGACTGCTGTAATGTACAGGGATAGGTACTGGGATTGGGGCAGTGACACTTTAATGCCCCGTACACTACATGATGTTTTGATGTGGAATACTGAAATCCAAAAACAAAAAACAAAAACATAAACCATGACAAGTATGCATACCTTTTTTTTGTATTAGAGGCACAATTTTTATATCAATGCATCGTAGCAAGCCAGATTTCCTTTCCTCCTTATGGAAAACCAGATGCTTTCAAACATCTTTCCAGTGTCATGAATAAAGGCTCCGTTCTTAAAACCTGTATCCCCTCCGTTATGTGAAGGCTTGAGCGGGGTGGAAAAGCACCCAGGCAGCCTGCCTTCTTTTGTAACACTGTTGTGATTTTGGGCTGTGACATGGGTTCAGCTGCTGGTAGTCAACAGCGATTCCTTGAAACTGTAATTCAGTTCAAGTGTGTTTGTTTTGTCTTGATTTAGTTTTGCTTTTCCACGTGCCGCTGCCCACAGGCACAGCCCTGCTGCTCAGAGAGCTGGGAACAATCCCTAACTTGAGGCTGCACAGCTCTGCCTCGCGAGGTTCCGTCCACCCCTCGCTGGCAGGGTGCAACCATCAGCCTCCCTGGGCTCTGTGGCAGTCCTGGGCCCTTCACACATCATGTTTGTTCAAGTTCTTGATAGTGTACGCTGTGCTGTGCTGTGTCTGATGCTCAGATGTGAACGATCCTGATCATCTATTGCAAATGCACTCCTGCGCTGCTGCTGGTGGCTGATCTGAGTGAGCTGGCCAGGCAGTGGCCAACCAGTTCAGGCCCATATTTGCTGTCACGGTGTGTGGTATCGCGCTCTTCTTCCCGTTTCCCAGCAGATCACAGGGCCTTGCAGCAACAGGGTGTTGAGATCCGCGCTCTCTCGCCCGGTGTGGCCCCCTCCTGCTCCGGGCACGAGGTCCAGTTGGAACAGCACAAGCATTTTTATCTGCTTGCTTGGGCTTTTTACAGTCCCTTTGTACACGTGGGCCTTCCTGTGCCCAAAGCCAGAAGAAAGGGGGCTTGCTGCTCCATACCCAGAAGAAAGGGGTTGTCCTGGGCCAGAAACCAGAAAGAAGGGACTGGCTGGACTAAAACACAGAAGGAACGTGGCGGGCTGGGCAGACAGCCAGAAGGAACGGGGCTTCCTGAGGCAGAATGGAGCAGGAAAGCAGCCTGCTGGGCAGCAAATCCATCAGGGAGATTCTTGCTGTGCAGAAACTGAGAAGGAAGGGGGCTCACCAGGAAGAAACCCCGATGGCAGAAGGCTTGCTCAGCTCAAAGCCAGAAAGAACTGGACTTGCTCTACTGAAACAGTGAAGAAGAGAGGCTGGAAAGGTCAAACGCCAGAAGGAATAAGGATTGCTGGGCCCAAAGCCGGAAGGAAAGGTCCTTGCTGGGCTGGAATGAATAGAGAAGGGTTTTGCTGCTCCTAAGCCCAGAAGGAAGAGGGCTTGTAAGACCATACCCAGAAGAAAGGGGGAGTGCTGGGCAACAAACCAGAAGGAAGGGGGCTTGCTGGACTCAAACCCAGAAGGAAGGGGCTTGCTGGTCCATACCCAGAAAGAAGTGGGTGTGCTGCGCCTCAAAGCAACAAGAAGGTGCTTGCTGGGTCCTGAACTAGAAGAAAGGGGGCTTGCTGGGCCACAAATGGAGAAGAAGGGGGCTTGCTGGACTTGGTTAGGGTTAGAGTTAGTTTTAGGTTTGGGGCAGTGAAAGCTTAGGTTAGGGTTAGTGTTAGAGTTTGGTGCTAGTGTTGAGTTTTAGAGTTATGCTTGGGGTTAGGGTTCGGTTAAGTTTGAGGGTAAGGGTTAGGGTTAGGTTCAGTGCTAGGTTTACATTTAGGGTTAGGATACAGCTGGGGTTAGGATTAAGGTTAGGATTAGGGTTAGTGTTTGTTTTGGGTTAGGGACTGGGTCAGGGTTAGGGTTGATGTTCAGGTTGGGTTAATATTAGTGTGAGGGTTAGTATTTGCAGAAAGGTTTAGAGCAAGGTTTCAGGTTTGCATTAGAGTTAGGGTTAGGGTTAGAGTTTGGGGTTAATTTTGGGTAGTGTTAGGGTTAGGGATTGGGTTTGATTGAGGGTTAAACTTATGGTAAGATTTAGGGTTGAGCTTAGGGTTAGGGTTTGGAATTAGGTTTAAGATTAATGTTGTGGCTAGGCTTAGAGTAAGGTTTAGAGTTAGGGTTAGGGTTATGTTTAGGGCAGGGTTTGGGTTAAAGTTAGGCTTGTGGGCTAGGGTGTAGTATCCTCTGTACAGATTCTATTGTGATACATGATTGAACCATTTGCCATTTCACATTTAATCCTTAGGGGAACCGAGTAAATGGGAGTTTCATGTGTTCTCATGTTCAATACAGAACCAGCAGTGGCAGCAACGATGTCGAGACAATGACTTTCACAGGCATGAGAAGTAATGGAGATGTGCACAGTTCTTCCAGCCGCTGTGCAAAGAGCCAATCCAAACCAGCGCTCTTCTTTACAAGTCCCTTTATGCCAGTGAGGTTTCTGTCAACAGTGGGTGTGCTTACAATAGACACATGAGGTAAGCTCTGGGTTCTACTGACTCTTTCTATTATGATTCTACGATTACTTTTGACCTTTTCATTTTCCTTTTAGTTTTCTTTCATTGTTATTTTTTTCCAGGCGTGTACCTGGACAAAGCCCAGCAGTTCCCATGATACCATTGTGTCCGTGATGCTTTCCTAGTGAAGGGAGTTTCACCTGGATGATACCTCCTTGTACAGCCAAATGCACTGAAACCAAAACGAACCTTGCTGTTATTCATTTCATGTGGTCATTTAAGTGGCCATTTTAATACAATGTATTTTAATCAGAGAGATGGCCAGCCAATCAGAGAGATCCCCCACGACATCCTTATAACAAAGCTGAGGAAGTATGGGATAGATGAGTGGACAGTGAGGTGGGTTGAGAACTGGCTGACTGGCAGAGCACAGAGGGTTGTTGGTGGTGCAGAGTCCGGTTGGAGGCCTGTAACCAGCGGTGTTCCTCAGGGGTCGGTGCTGGGTCCGGTCTTGTTCAACATCTTCATCAGTGACCTTGATGAGGGGATAATGGCCACCCTCAGCGAGTTTGCTGATGATACGAAGTTGGGAGGATTGGCTGACACGCCTGAAGGCTGTGCTGCCATTCAGCAAGACCTGGACAGGCTGGAGAGCTGGGCAGAAAAAAACCAGATGAGGTTTAACAAAAGCAAGTGTAGAGTCTTGCATCTGGGGAGGAATAATTGCATGCACCAGTACAGGTTGGGGGATGAGCTGCTGGAGGGGAGCCCTGCGGAAAGGGACCTGGGTGTCCTGGGGGACGACAGGTTGCCATGAGCCAGCAGTGTGCCCTTGTGGCCAAAAAGGCCAATGGCGTCCTGGGGTGCATTAAAAAAGCGTGTCCAGCAGGTCGAAGGAGGTAATCCTCCCCCTCTACTCTGCCCTGGTGAGGCCTCATCTGGAGTACTGTGTCCAGTTCTGGGCTCCCCAGTACAAAAAAGACAAGGATCTCTTGGAAAGAGTCCAGCGGAGGGCCACGAAGATGGTGAAGGGCCTGGAGCATCTCTGCTATGAGGAAAGGCTGAGTGAACTGGGTCTGTTCAGCCTTGAGAAAAGAAGACTGAGAGGGGACCTGATCCAGGTCTATAAATATCTAAGGTGTGGGGGGCAGAATGGCGAGGCCAGACTCTTTTCAGTGGTGAGTGGAGACAGGACAAGGGGAAATGGCTGGAAACTGCAGCATAGGAAGTTCCGCACAAATGTGCGCAAGAACTTCTTTACAGTGAGGTGACGGAGCACTGGAACAGGCTGCCAGGGAGGTGGTGGAGTCTCCTTCTCTGGAGATGTTCAAGACCTGCCTGGATGCCGACCTGTGCGACCTGCTATAGGGAACTGCTTTGGCAGGGGGTTGGACTCGATGATCTCTGGAGGTCCCTTCCAACCCCTACAATTCTGTGATTCTGTGTGATAAAGGAGAACAGAGGTGACAGTAATTGTTTCAATCTGGTGCTACAGCTGTAGCCAAGATCTTTATTGCACATAAGGATACAGCACTTCCTCTTCTGTCAAGTGAAATAAGTAGTGCATTTCAACTGGTTCTAGAATATCACTGTCCTCTAAAGCTGGTAGACTTTTCAGCTGTCCCTTGAAAGGCTGCTACGCTGCAGTGCCAAGCATTTCTTTTCTGGTGTAGTTAGCTATAAACGTTCTACTTCTGCCGTTACAGATCCGTGGACAGGTAGATCACAGCTGTGTGGTGTTCATGGGTACATCTGAGAAAGCATTGATGCTGCTTCCCTCGAGATGTCAGTCTCAGCAGATGGCACTGCAATTAAACTTCTGCCACCAGAGAAGTTTTTGCCTTTGTACTTTAACTTTCTGAACTCCAGAAAATTGGTGCACAATCGGTGATCAGTGCTATTCCAAGATACTGGGAAAGATTTCACATCAGGAAATTAAGAAGATTGGATTGTTTCCCTTGATTTGAATTCTTTGCATCGTTCAGTGCACTGCAGAACGAATGGGTGGCTGCATGAAACAGGTGCAGTGAAAGTAAAACGACAGCTTTGGATGGAAAGGAATGGCAGTAGCTGCTGTCCTGAAACCATGGCTCTTATTAGATGAACGAGCCCTTTGCTCCTTCAACAGAGGCTTCCCAGATGTTGAAGCCTACATCCAGTTTCCAACTTCTTTCTTAAGGAAGATACTGGAAACGTTTTGTGTTTTCTTTGGTGTATAAGTTGTAGCTGGCCTTTTTGTCCCCTCCCAATTGTTTTTTAAGGAAGAAAATGAGGCAGATAATGTCTGTAAGGTTAGAAATCATCACTTCATCCGTTCGGCTTTTTTTTTTTTTTTTTTAATTAGTACATATTTAAGTACTTCTGAGGATAAATATTCACATATTTCTTAACCGAACTGTGATTGTGGAAACTGTATTGCTTGTTTTCTACTCTCTTTCAGTGAATTACCTGGAGCAGGCATTTTGTTCCCTTTCCGTGGACTTGAGAACTGACAAAGGGGAGAACTTTCTTCTGGGATATCTACAGTATGCCTTCAGTCACTGATTTGGCTCTTTAGTTGCTGACAGACTGAGCTCAGACTGCAGCTCAGCAGTTGTCACCTACATCAATGCTTTCAGCTTCCTGGGGTCACTGGAGCTGAGAACTGACTGTCCTGACAGTGCAGCCTCCCAGAATACTGCATTGCAGCCACTCTTCCTCTCCTAACCCCAGAGCTGTACAGTCACCACCATCTGTGGCACCAGAACGCATCTTCAGACGCCCCTCAGTCCGCAGCCCTCAGAATGCCTTGCATGCTGACCTCCACCTCTGTGTGCTCCAGCACCCACGAGAAGAGACTCCAGGATTAAACATGCTCACCTCTGTGACACCTCTGTTGTCACATCAGGACAACCCTATCAAGCCAGCTTTTCAATTAACTCAATCCTTTGCACATCCTTCTGCCACCAACCACCCCAAGGCTATCCCTGTCTTTGCCCTTGTTGGAAATACCCAAATAATTTATCAGGACGGTATTTCTGATAAAGCAGATTTTCTTTGCAATTGCAAGGCCAGGCCTCCTGCAGGCAGGAGAGCGCCCCGAAAACAGCCTTACATCCTTTATGCCCTATTATTCCATGCTGATCTCTTTCTCCCCTGGTTCCTCATTGGCTGAGTGCTTCAGGTTCACAATCTTCCGGACACTCAACTGAACCTACGGATACTGGATGAACATCAGCTGTTGCAGCTGAGCACACATCGCTTATGAGTGACTTCTCACACTTGCTCACTCAACACTCGGTCGTAGTTTCTGGACTTCTGCTCGTCCCTGCATAGAGATGAGCTTGGAAGGAGGACAAGGGGGATGCCTTGATGCCTGCCTGTTGCATCCCAGCCTACCCACAGAGCCAGGCAAGCCAACCTTGTGTAGAGGCCCTGGCTCCTTTGATGTTTGTTAAGTCTGTTTCTCTTTTGCTGAGGGTCTCTTATCCAAACAGAACAGCCCTCAGTATGCTTTCTAGCCCATAATACCATACCTATACTATTTGCATCATTTAAAAACTATTGCAGTTTTGCAAGCTTAATTAATCACACAATTCAGCAGCTGTATTTCTAAAGCACGTTACTAACAATACATTATTTCTGCCTTTTCACAGCAACTATTTCTAAGGACAAGTTACAAAATACAAAAACACTGTGCTCTGCTTCTTCAGATCAATTCCCCCTTTTTCACATCTAACGCAGAAGCAGCATTCCATCCCTACGCGCCCACGAGCACACAGCTGCCCCAGCTCTGCACCCCGTTCCTGCAGCAGGACAAGTTTTCCCGGCCAGCCAATTCAAAGCTGGGTTTGTGCAGAGCAGCGGCTGCTCCGAGGTTAGGGAGCTCGGCGCGTGCCCGGTGTGCAGCGACACCGCCCGGCTCCGCGGAGCTGCAGCCCCGCATCCCCGCAGTGCGCCGAGCAACCGGGGGGAACCGGAAGGGAACCCGGGGGGAGCGCGGAGCGGAGCGGCTCTTCGCCCGCCGCTGCCGGGGATGGGAAGCGCTGATGGGCGGCGAAGTGCGGCGCGCAGCGCGGGACGGGCTGAGCCGCTCGACCGCTCCCGGCCCCGCCGCCGTTACGTAAAGCCCCGAGACGCGCCCGGCGGAGCCTCCAAATCTCCGCACCGCGGCACCCCGCAACTTCCTCGGGGCTCCGGAGCCGGCCTCCCCTGGCGCCACCGGGGCTCCCGCTCCAACTTCCCCGCCCGCCCGGCCGCGCACCCACCTGCCCGCGCCACGGCAGCCCTCGGGGCGGCCGCAGGGAGCAGACCGGAGCGCCGAGCTCCAGCGGCGTCGGCACCGCCGGAGGAGCGGCGGGAGGCGGCCCCACCGTCCCGGCCCGTGCCGGTCCACATCTGCTGAGAGGGGAAGGGAAAAAGCACAGCAGCGGGGGCCGCACCGGCTTTGGGAAGTTCGCGGGGAGGTGCGCGCGTGAGACCGCCGTGCGTCCGCCGTGCTCGTGGAAAGCGGCTGTCGGAGGCGGGCGTGTGGGGTGCGCGTGGCCGCGTGCTGAGAGCGAAGTGTCCCCGCACGGACGCCTCCGAGTGCTGGAGAGGCGCCTCCCGAACGCAGCAGAGGGCGGAGGTGGTGGATGGGGGCAGCGCAAAGGCACCGCCGTCGCTTAGCGCGGTGCGAGGCCCCGAAGTCAGGGCGGAAAGCGGCGGAGCGCCGCGGGTCTGCGGCGCATTGAGAGCCCGGCGCGGCGGGAGGGCCCGCGCGGCGCGTCCCGCTGGGAGCGGAGCGCTGCGGGGATCCGCCCGGCACCGCTGCCCTCCCGGCCCCGCAGCGCTCGCGGTGCGGTGTGACGCCGAGCGACGGTGACGGGCGGCGAGCGGCGCGCTGCCTCCGCGCTGCTTCTATGGGTGCGCGTCGAGCACCGCTCCTGCGCTTTGAGGGACTTTGCCGTCCCCAGGCTCGCACGTTCCTGCCTGGAACATCTCTCCCCCCGCCCCCAAATACATCCCCCTAACGGCACTGCTGTCGCTTTTACTAATTGTTCGTGGAGTTCTATTTTTTCCGTATTTTCCCTGAGAGGAAGAATTAGGAAGAGGCCGTAAACGCTTTCCAGGACGAATTAATAAAAACGAAGCGCTAATGGGGCAACGCATTTCAATAGACGTCCCTCAGGTCCGCCTAAGGCAGCCAGGTTCTCTATTCCCCAGAGGAGCAGCAGGTGGGGGGCAAAGAAGGGATGGGGAAACTTCAGCACGCGCGCAGAGGAATAGCGGGAGGCAGAGCTCCCTGCTGCCCACGCTGTTCTCAGCTCGGAGGGCAGGCGGGCACCTCGCTCCCTGCTGCCCACAGAACACCCTTGAGCCCTAACCCGATTAGTGCCCGGCTAATTGCCTCTGTGTCAGGCAGCTGTTGGGGGACAAAACACGGCTTTCCCTCGCTCCTGCCCCAGTGTTTTGCTGGTGAGCACTCAGGCAGGATGATGCCTGTAGAGAGGGAGAGCACTGCCTTGCACAAACAGCCTGCTGTCCAAACCCTGGCTCTACAGGCACCCAGCTCTGTGGGACCAAGGCAGCAGAGGGGAAGTGCTGCACTGGGCTCTGCGTGTGCGAGTACAAAGCATTTCCCAAGGTGTTTTCAGAGTACATTTGGAACAGACGTAACAGCTGGTAGGCCAGGGCATTGCTCACCACTCCATGCAATGTCAAACAGGCAGAGATGGTCGTGCTGGCAGCCCCAGAGGAGAAGGAGGGCTCCTGCTCAGTGCTGGGCTGTGGGAGGACCCGCAAAGCACAGCAGCAAACGGTTTGGCTGAGAGCATGGGACAGGACTCATGCCTTTCATGGCTGCACCCTGTGTCATCCAGCACTGCAGGCGTGGGCCAGCTGTGGGGACAGCAGCACTCGGTGTCAGCCTCCTGCAGCAGAAGGGCTGCTCAGAGAGCAGCACACATGGGAGCATCGTGCACAGTGAGCAGTGAAACACCCTGCATGGCTCTATGGAACCACAGAATGGTTTGAGATGGAAGGAACCCTCAAAGGTCATCTGGTCCAACTCCTCTGCAGTGAACAGGGGCACCTGCAGCTCCACCAGGTGCTCAGAGCCCTGTCCAGCCTGATCTAGAATGTCTCCAGGGATGGGGCATCCAGCACCTCTGGTCTGTGCCAGTGCCTCACCACCCTTACTGTGAACAACTTCTTCCTCATTTCCAATTTAATCTCCCCTCCTTGAGTTTGAAACCATTTCCCTGTGACCAATCCTGTCACAGCAGAACCTACTAAAGAGTCTGTCCTCTCCTTTCTTATAGCCCCCCTGAGATGCTCTCAGGTGTCCCCAGAGCCTTCTCTTCTCCATTCCCCAGCTCTCTCAGCCTGTCCTAGTAAGAGCAGTGTTCCATCTCTGGGCATATTTCTGTGGCCCTTTTATGGACGCACCCCAGCAGGTCCGTGTCTGTCTGTACTGAGTGAGAACTCTGCACTCAGCTGCTGATCTCAGAGCTCCGGAGCGGTTCACCGCGAGTGCCGCTTTCGACCCGTGAGCGCACAGTGCTTTTCCGCAGCTGGGAACGTGAGACATCACCCTCCAGCTTTCCTTCGAGGGAAGGGGCTTTTTTCGCAGCCCGGTCAGGACTTCTTCTGAACGTACAACTCCCTGTTTGGAGTTATGGAGAAGGTAGAGAGAAGGAAAAATGCAGTTGTCGCATTTCAGAATTTATTCACATGTTTTTATTCTATTTTTAACAGTTCCATGTTTACAACAGGAGTTACTTGTGAGTAATTAGCAACTGTTCTTATACTTACATCTACTTCCTTATCTGTTATGCCATTCCAGAGATCTCTGTGACTTAAGGAGATGCTGAGATGAAGCATCTGATCATATTGCAAAGCCACCGGAAACTCAGGTGTGTTTATTTCTTTAAAATGGAGTTTGTGTTATCACAGAATGATGCCTGAATCCGATTCAGAAATAAATGAAATAATTATTGAGAGAAGAAGGGGGGGGAGGAGATGGGGAGGGGAGGGAAAGCAGAGGTGGATTTTTGGGATCTGTGCAGATGAAAAAAACAACAGCAAATCACTCTTCTCATGTTTCAGCAGGAAAACATTCAGTGGAGAAACTGAAGTACCGTTGAATCAAAAAATGCTACAAATAGCTCTGAACTGAGAAGGTATTTGATGCATTTCCCAGCAGTGTTAAATTCTCCTCAGGCTGATGCACAAAAAACTGTAAGATTTTGTATTACCGAATGTCTGTTATCCTTTAAAAATATTCCTCTTATAGAGATCACGGTATCAGAACATTCGTGCTGGACTAATTTCTGTAGGCCTGATGTGACGTGACAGATTGCATATTGCTCATATGCTGGAAATTAAGTCATTAACTAACTCAGAACTTCAGAAGTCCACAAAGTGAGGTTCAAAGAAAATTGCTCACACCAAGCAGCAGGGATGGGTAAGGGAGGCTTTGTCAAGAGAAGGGATGCTGGAAAAGATGTCCCCATGGAGTCCCTTCTCCTCATTATAACCTATCCACGTACTGACTTGCAGGCCTTTTTCACGTAGCTCGTAGTTGTCAATGTGAAAACAAGATGATAATTACTTCACTCAGATGCCGAATGAGCAACAAAATACAACTTATTGGAAGAGACACTGCAAAGTAGTTAAATTGATAGAGAGAGGTCAAGTGCAAAGAGGTCCTGGTCGTTTCTGTTACAAGATTAATATGAGGGAGTGTGTAAGAGATACAAAAAAGAAATATCTCATTGGACATGAAACCACCCAGAGCTGGGGAACAACGATAGGAGCTCTGCAATGAGGACATGTATGCGTTCTGTGCAAGAAATTACAATTGGATTCTCTGCTATGCTTTAAGCTAGGTGTAAGAAATACCTGCTCACTGGAACTCAGCAGGCTTTCACAGGCATAAAATCGGTGCTGCGGGTGGAAGTGGGCTCTGAGAAACTATTCCTGAAGATACCAAATGCGGCAAAAGCTTTGATACCTGGAAACAAGACTGAGCTCTTGTCTTCCATATTCAATTTTCCTACAGTTATTTACAAAGTAATCTGAACTTTACCTTTCATTCTCACTATTATTTAAAGAATTTGCAAGCACCAACCAAGTCTCTGTCAGAGTTAAAAGGGACATTTCTGAAAACACTGCGACACACCACAAGGGAAAGTAAAACCTAAATACAAAACAGGCTCTGAAAGACGGCCTCGGCCTTTGACGAGTTCATGGGATGTTTCCTTCCTTCCTTTCCTTCCTGAGCTCTCAGAAGATCAGCATTTCATCAGAAAGCACAATCGTATTCAGATAGGTGCCACAGCTTTACTATGTAATCTTTTCTAATCCTTCCTTCACTGTCCTCTCAGGGAAACACATTTTTTCCTGATACCTCTTAGAAACTACACTTTTTCAACTTATGGCCAGTGTCTCTCACCTCGTCACCATACAGTACTGTGAAAGTCCTCTCTTTCTCTCTTTCTGTCTCCTTGCCTCGTGCTGGTCAAAGCCTGCTCCTAAGACCTCTCCTTCCAGGGCAAGTGTTCCAGTCCTGGGAGTTTCATTGACTTCACTCCTATTTTTCTATACTTTTTCTCTCTTTTTGCAGGCCTTGAAACTGGATGCTGTAATGCAGGCATGGCCTGATGAGTTCCAAGTAAAAGATAATAGCAAGATCTCTCCTTCTGTGCTCCCACGGGCACA